CCCAATCACCCTACGACTGTTATTAACTCTCTTTAGATCATATGCACGGCCACATTTTGAAGTTCTTAGTGTCACCTCACTCCTCAAAAGAGATATAAATCTTCTCTTTCAGCGCAGGAACGAGTAACTAGATGGTTGACAGGATTCCAATGTTTGGGAATATTAACTCTGTGTTATAAAAGTATTCTCTCATATAAGAACGAAAATCTAGGTTTCAGCACACTTTCTCTCATGAACAGATGTCCGAAATTGGTATGTCCTTCCAGCAGTGATGACCACAACCTCTTCACATTCGGATCACCATATACTTCTTGGAACATCTAGGCTTGATAAATGTCTTGAAACTTGCTTACTGTTATCACTGTCATTTTCCCGGATCAGTCACGCATTTTGTCTCCGTTCCCTGTTCCTTGATTACAATACCTTCCTCTCGCACAATCTTCACTGCCAATTAATTCACTTATTTAATTATTTACATAATTCCGAAATTTCCATCTTATTAGCATTAGAATTTTATTCTTATGATTCTCCACGTTGCGACTAACTGAACTTCTACGGCCTGGTGATATGATAACTTCTGGCATCCAGAAACTCTAATGCCCTGAGACAAACTCTCTTGAGACATAAATTCATAAATAACTGCCAGATGACCAGAGTTAGTACGGTTGAGTGGCTGGACTACCGCTACTACTATAATCTATCAAATGCCGGAAACCGTACCAGCACAAAGCAATCAATTATTTCATACCAGCTGGTAAAAAAGGATATTGAATATTTGTAGGTCATTAAAGAGGCATAGAAACGAAGGCGCTCATAGTGAACGTCTTACGTCATGTGGTATGCCCGAACGTTTTCGTAAATTTGTCCTGATTCTCAAAGGTGAATGATTTTAAATGCTAAAAAAATTTTAAACCAATTTCACAAGTAGTATGTCTGACAGAAAACATACTGGTCTTATGAAAAACATGTGAATTGCTAAATATCGTGTAAATTAAAATTCAAACTTATTGACTACAGCGTATCCTATTTTTCAACTATGTTCAATCTAATTAAGGGAGGAATTTAGTCATCTGGGAGTTAAAGGATCAGCTATATGTGCCTTTTTAGCGTTTGAATATGCATATATTTACTTTACTGAGTATAGAAGATCCCACACGTAAACAGAATAGAATAGTTCATCAAAGAGACACTTTCAACATGCTATTGACACCCATTCTAACCGTAATTTTGACATCAAATTCTACGTTTGGGTTCACCGAGTCAAAATTAGTTTGGTTTCTAGTTTAAGATAGAGAGATGTGTTTGACACTTGAATTAGTTCAGCATTGAGTCGGCCAGAAACTTTCAGTGTCACACATATTTGCACTTGTCTTAAAGGTTTTTCAAAGATAACATTGCTTTCTCTAACACAAATCTGCTAAAAACGTAAATTTCCGTGTGTATTTAAATCTCGTATATCTCACACATTATTTCGGGACATTTATATGCAATTGAATGCCAGGATAACCTTAAAAGGGCTGGTATTTTTTCTTTGATTGGCCTCACATAAAGATAAATGGGTGTGCTTCGTGATCCATTATCCAATATCTTTTACACGAGCTAGTATGAACCAACTGATTGCTTTGCGCTCGATTTTTGTTCTTTCTGTACGGTTCCAGGTGTGTGGTAGTGTCCAAGGAGTGGGGATCTAGCCACTCGACTGTCCAGTTCTAGTTAGTTGGCAGTTGGTTGTGAGTTCGTATGTCTGGTGATTCGAATGAAAACGTTTGTTTCAGGGTAGAAGGGTTATTGGATATCAGCAGCTACCACATTACCAGACCGGAGATCAGCTAGTTGCAATGTGGAGAATAAGAGGCTGAAAACTCTAATGATAATATGAATAAGATTTCAGAACTAAGTCAATCAGTAGAGAATTTCAGTTATTAATTGGTAGTGAAGATTGTGAGAAACAACCGAAATGTAAGCAAGAGAGAGGAAACGGAGATAATAGGCGAGATGGATTAATTAAGTGATATGAGGAGATGGCATTGATAACAACTAGCAGGTTTCAAGATATACATCGGGCACAGCTTGTCCAAGATGGAGATGATAATCCGTATGTGATTAACAAGTCTCTTATTAAAGCTGTTCGCTGAGGCGGCTTTGGTCACTACGGCTGGGAGAGCATTCCAAGTTGCGACTACTCTCGATGAGAAAAGTGTGGACAAACCTGAGTATTCTCTCTTTGACATGCAATCTTTCGAGGATTGCCTCGAGGGGAGTGGTGGTGATGCATCGGTAAGATGCTCACGATGGGATGGTTTGGTGTGCTTAATATGTTGTACTCCATACACAGATCACCTCTAATCCTCCTGTAACTCAATAGGAATAATCCCAAATGCTTGAGCCTATCATCGTAAAGTTTATTTATCAACACTATCATCCATTTTGTTGCTCGTATCTGCACTCCATCTAAGAGATTTATGTCTCTTTTAAGGAGAGGGGGTGTGATGATGTTGTAAACCTACAGGTGTGGACGCGCGTATGTCTTAAATAACGTTAAGAAAAATTATGGAGTGATAGCCCCAAGTTGTCTTCATATAAAGTGAAGAGTCGAATTTTCCTTGGCTGCGTCTCCTATATAGTTCGGGCTCGTGTGGAAGCTTTCTGTGGTTATTAGACCGAGATCACTCTCTGAAGAGACATTAGGCGACAGACTTTCACTGAGGGTGTAAATCGTCTGCAGAATGTACGTTACGTGACAATTCACCTGGCTTATTTTTAAACCATTTTTTCACTGCCCATTCCTCAATAGATGTAAGGTCCTTTTGAAGCTCAGTCGAATCCTCTTCGCCTCTAATGGACCTCCAGATCTTCACATCGTCTGAGTAGATCAATGCCGGTGAGCTAACTGAGCTTAACGGGCCGTTAATGAATATCAAGAAGAGAAGTGTACCTAAGATGGTCGTCCGTGAAGCTCCCAATGTGGATACTCGTTTGCGTGCACTCTATTTACCTTGATACGAATTTTCTATTTTCAAGGTGGTTTCTGAGCCAAGATAGGAGTGGGTCAGTGAAGACCGTTTCCGCAACCTTTGAGATTAGGCGTGCGTGAGATACTGTGTCTAAGGCTTTTGAAAAGTCGAGAAATATTATGTGCAACGGTATTTTTCGGTCGAAGCAGGATGTCCAACTGCCCCATGCTATGAGAAGATTAGATACACACGACCTGCCGTTCCGAAACCCGTGTTGAGCTTCATGGCGTATATTATTCTTATCCATGTACCACTCATTCGTTCGTCCACAAGCACTTCCATCACCTTTGATAGTATTGGTAGTAATGCGACTGGTCTGTAACAGGCTGGATCCTTTCCATATCGGCCTTTGAAGATTGGAGAGAGAGTAGCTTGTTTCAATTCAGCTGGGAGTTGGTGTGAATCCAGTGAATGCCTGAACATGTCACACATCGGTGAACAGAGGACTTCTGCACATTGTTTCAAGACTATGGGGCGAATATTGTCACAACCTGATGACTTTCTTGGGCGTAAGGATTTTAGTTTCCTTAGTACTAAGTCAGGAGTGATACGGACATTCCCTAAGCCGTCAGCTGGCAATGAGTTTGCGTAGTATTTTGAACATGCGGATGCCTGGTTTAACTGATCGGTAAAGTTTGTGTTGAAGATCTCAGCCATCTCTAGGTTGTTGAGGTCTTCCTCATTCGGACCTTTGGGAGAACACAAACCCTGATACGTAGGTTTTATTTTTTTTCACGAACCTAAACAGATGCTTCGTGTTTGCCTGTATTTTGACAGCTAGCTTCATTTGAAATCGTCTCCTATCACTTTGAACTTTTGGTATTGCATCTGTTTCTCAGTGCCATGTAAGAACTACGATCAGAACCCTTCAAGCAGACCTTCCACTTGTGTCAGGCTCTCCTCTTCGCCTGTAGCAAGCGTTCAGTGCCGCGCCTAACCCATGTTCTTTTATTTCCGAGTGTGTAGTGTGACTGGGGTACACTGCTAAAGATGGAATTCTGGATGATGTCTCTCACTGTTTGTTGGTGGTCATCTGCTGTCAGCCTCTACCACTTCCGTGGCCGTGGGGCATGTAGGAGGATCTCTCTCATACAAGTATAATTTGCGCTAGCGTAGCAAAGATAGGGCTCGTTTTCATCCTGAATGAGTGTTTCTTTTATGACTATGTTAAAAAAGACTGTGCCATGGTCGCTACTACCTATTGGTGTATGGACTTGAACATTTTTGATCAGGAGCTGATCATTTGTTAACAAATAATCAGGGTTTGGTTCTTTCCTTACTTAGTCCATCTAATGGCACTGCACACGTACTCAGTAAGCCCAGAGCTTCTAATGGATGCGCCAAGTTGTTTTTGGAACCAACTAGTGGGAGTTGTATCCTGATTGATGAGATTTAGAGATGGGGTATTAAAATCTCCAGCTAAGAGTATTTGATCATTTTGCATTTTTTTTTCTCATTGTATGATCGTAATTCAAACTGCAAGAACCTTGAGGAAGTACAGAAATGACTTATTTGATTTTTTCACATCACTAGCCCCAACATAGTATCAATATAGCAAAATTGACAGTGGATAGATCACCGTGAATCTTGATTGAAATCCTCGGTTATAGATATTTCAATACATATGCTGCATAACAAAAACCACACATAATCCATCAAACCTTTATTTAAATCCAATATTATTCTGAAAATTTCGTGAGTAGTAGTGAAGGTGCTGACTATTTCGAGTAGAATAAGTTCTTTAATCTTTAAAATGGTAGGCACATGACTCTGGTATACTTATTTTTATATTACTTAGTTTAGTGCCAAGTACTTTTATAAGAGTAGTTAGTTAGACACTTGTCTGACAACTTAAATAGTAATTTTAGAACTGTTTGGTTTCATTTCTGTTGTTTCTTTTTTAGTACAGTTGCTACCTACATATAGAGGACTATTGTTAATCTACATCTGAAATATTTTAACAGCCAACAATTTTTTAGATAACTTATGGATGAACCAAAAACTGAAAAAGAACAGAATGAGCTTGAACACAGCAGAAACTATGATAATGAGAATACTGATGAAGTATGTGAAAATTTAATTGTTGAATCACCGAATGTCGACCGGAAAGATTTCGAAGCAAATACTGATGACGCAAATCCCTTTAATGCCTCAGATATTATAATGCAAGGCAACGTTTCGAATGAATGCACCGATAAAAAAGAACAAGCAAATTTCTCAAACAAATCAGCATTTTGTAAAAATACATCTGACGAGATAAGTGATTCTGATAGTTGGCCTGTTTATTATTATGGCGATGTCAAGGACAGTGTGCTAGTCTATATCAACACTGAGTACGGAGTTTTATTGGAAGTTTCTATGGTCCCCGAAAAGTTCAACATTATGGATCTTAAAATAATACTGGTTAAAGATACGGGGATTAGTCAAGAAAATTTACTACTCTGCTACCATGGTGAAGTGCTGAATTCTGATACGCCACTTATTAACCTAGCAAAAGAAAACAGGGTTTTATCTCTGACTGTTTCGCTCGTAAACGTTGAAGATTCGTTCAAAATAAAGTTAGGATTTCGTGAAATTGTTTTGACATCTGGTCTTATCATCAAAATAATTGGCAAAAAGATTGCAGTAACAAAAGATCCTTACAGTCAAGAAAATATAATGCTAGTCCCTAAGAAAAGTGGATCAAATATAGGTGCCAAAAATGTTCATATAAACTGGTTGCCGTATGATCATCATAAACCATTTCTAGGAGGATACAAGAATACAATCACTAACTGCATCTATCACAATGCATCTTCGCAAACAAAACCCATTCAAAGAAAAATGTTGGTAGCCGTACAGACATCCAGAGATACACAAACATATAGAGTCCATCATTTTGGTAGCATGACGGTAAATCATATGTCCACCCAAGTACCAAAGCCTGGGTTTTTTGTTGCCAACAGTCAGGACAAAGTGAAAACCCCTGGACCATACGAAACAGCGGATGAATATCTTGCCAGAGTGCTAACGAAGGTAAGGTAGCTCTTAAATCTACCTCACTGATGCGATGGTCATTTTACTGATACTAACTGAACAAAATGAGGGTTTGACAGTGTTAGGATTTATAAGTTTTACTTATCAGTAAGAGCAGATATATAGGTTGAAGAATATATCGTAGTTTATTCACAAAATATTTTTAACCATTCGTCGTAGTTACCATATTATTTCTCCAGGTCTTTGATGAAATATTTGACGCAAGAGAATTAAATTTGTGAAAAATAGTCATTCATTTCTACTTTCATTCAGATACTGACATACAGACACATACCTTAGAGGAACATGTAATCACATAAACCCTTAGGTTTTTAAATGTGCAATGAAAAATATTGTATCAGGATACATCAGTGAGATCTAATGGAGGTAAATTGAAGGAGAATAAAGAATAAATTGATTTCTTTAGACACCCTATTTCGAACTAAAACTCATTTATTACAGGGATTATTAATTACACAATTAATCTTCATGACATTATTAGTTAACCTAACAATAATTCCTTGTAGTTTAATAGCTGTAGATGTCTTTGTAATTAAAGTGTATCGTCAGTTACTCCTTCATGAGATTTTGATACTGATTATAGTGAAGGTACATCAATTACAAGCAGGTGATTCCAGTAAGAATTCAACTGCAAATTTACAATTATTAGAAGAAATCGTCGAAGTCTTCTTGTTTCTCAACACACTCAGAAAACGCACTAATTAAGCTGAGGCTTTTTGAGTAATTTATTTAATGAACATGCATCTAGTTAACGATTATTTTGAAATCTATAGACTAAAACAATCAGGCACGCTTCATTTATCTCGTTAGTCTCATCAGTGCTGATGGCCTGGTGACTGACGAAATCTCAGTACAGATACAGAAGGCTCGATTGGCTTTTACCAAATGACGAATGTACTGCGCAGCAGTTCGCTTCTTCTTACTATATGGCTATGAAACGTGGCCAGTGAGAGTAGAAGATATTCGTAGGTTGCTGGTTTCCGATCATAGGTGTCTTCGAAGCATCGCTCGTATATCCCGGGACAACCAAGTTAGCAATGCTGTTGTAAGGAAACGGGTACTAGGTAAGGATGGCAGATCAATGTATGAAGTATTGAAACTCCATCAGTTGAGATGGTTGGGACATGATTTATGAATGCGCAACCACCGACTGTCTCGTCGAACTATATTTTGCAATATAAGGGTAAGTTGTAAGAAAGCTAATGGCCGCCAAACCAAAACATGGCACAAATCCATGAAGTCATTGACAACTAGATTGAGTCATGTTGGTAAGTGTAGACTATATCGATGTGACCCGCGAGATGATAGCATCCATTTGTTAGAGACGTGGAATGACATGGCCCAAGACCGTTCGCAATGGCTCAGGTGTATTCATTCTTTGACTTCTCTCATATCCTAATCCTCTGGATTCTTCATCACATTTATCTTTCTTTTTCTTTTAAATTTATTTCACTGGATTATGCATGTTGAATGCTATCTTCGAATCCTAATCTTCCCCATCAAAGTTAATACTTCTGTCACCTCTTCTACTGTCAGTTTGATCTCTCTACGCTAATGTGGAATGGTATCTTGAACTGACGTACGCACGTATGAAGTTTTGCGTTGAAGCTGACTGATTGGGGAGGTCCGTACGTGCTGCTTCGATGTTGGGTGGCTTCATTGGAGCTGGCTTATACAAGAGTTCTTCAAAGTACTCTACACACCTCTCATTCATCTTCATTATCGGTGATTGCATTGTCTTCCTTGCTTTTCACCAGTCGTTCTGGTTTACGATGTTTTCCAACGAGCTTCTTTTGGTGTCGTATGGTTGTGTCAGGTTTCCTTCACTTTCAGCTTTTTCTGCTATCATAGGTAGATCTCCCACATATTCACGTTTGTCAGCTCTGGTGCTCCTCCTCACGTGCTTGTTTTCTTCCGTGTATTCAGCTTGTGACTTGATTTTCGCCACCCTTGTTAGGCTGATTTTAATTGCTACCTTCCTGTTCTTCCTTTCTCGCATTTTATCTACAGTATCCACAGAGATCCATTCATTGTGATGGTGGTTCTTTCGGCACAGAAATTCATGACATGTTGAAGCGCTTGCTTCCTTGATCATTTTCCAGTTGTTCTCTATCATAGTTTCCACTCCGCTGAGTAGATCTTCAAAAGCCTAAAACCTATTGTTGAGTGCTATCTTGGATTCATTGTTTTCCAGTATTTCGAAGAAGGATCGTTTCGAACTTTGGCGATGCTGTTCTTCCCCTTTCCAGTTTCATCTTGGCTACCACCAAGTGGTGATCTGAAGCTATACCGGCTCCTCTCTTGGTTCTTACTTCCTTCAGTGTCTATCTGAACTTTTAACTGATGCAGATGTGGTCGATTTGGTTCTGTGTAGTGTGCGAATCTCTCACCATTCTTCTTCCTTTCTCCCAGTCCATGTCGTCGTATTATGTCCTTATATTCACTGTTATCCATTCCAACATTGTCATTTAGGTCTTCCATCAGAATGTTAAAGTCCTTTGTTGAGAATTTATTGACGATTGACAGCAGCCTCTCATAGAATTGATCTTTATTGTCAATTGTTATCGTAATTAGGCGCATTGCAATGGATGACGTTCATTGTAATGTCCTCTTTCTTTGTTTTGATGATCCTGTTTTAATGAGATTTCCACCCTATCAGTGCGTTTTGTGCTTAATTGTATACAATTAAGTGAAACTCCTTGTGTGTGTGAGGTATTTTCTTTTTCGTGGCCGAAGTACAACAGCAGGTCTCCTGAAGCAAGTTTTAGTTGTCCGACGTGCGTCCGTGTTTTATTATTCCAAGTAACACCAGATTGTGTGTTTTCATTTGTGAAGCAACTTTGATGACTCTCCCGGTCTCCTACATTGTTCGAACATTCCATGTACCTACTTTAATGGTTGCTCTGTTTGTCAGAAGGGGCATTGGCCACGTGATTCTGAAGAAACTCAGGTTTCATCATGAGACGTCATAACTGTTCTAAATGAAGGGCTTCTAACTTCCATGGCAGCGTTTAAAGGGTCTGAATTATTATTTCTAGTTGGCGTTTTTTAGCGAGTTAGTTTTCTACAGGTTGGGGTTGCTAACCCCACACCCAACCTTCCTCTACCCGGGGTTGGGACTGTCAGTAGCCCAAGAAGGGCTCTAAGTGGAGTTATAAATTACAGCTATTAGTTGGCAAAATAATGAACAGAGTAGTTGCTAAGTGAAGTCGCATAACTTAGCAAACAGATACCAGAATGAAAAACGATATCCATCTGACTCGATTATATTATTAAGGATATGAAACTGTTGTATACTAATAAAATAGTCAACTAACTTTATGATAACCAAATAATCAACTGCTGTGAGATATTGAGAAAAGTGTGGTCGGTCACTTACTGACTATTAAGTATGTGATCTTTTATTTTCTAATCGGTTTCTACTACAGATTCATTGAGTGTGACTGCTTGTAATTATTGTATAGAATAAAAAATATCGTCTATCGCTTAATCTGGTTTTCTATTTTTGTCGTAAATCGTGCATCCAGTTTAACTTGATATCTAGTCTATATAGTAAGTATTCAATCTAGTGGTAATATAAACTTGATCACCAATTCAGATTCTCTGTAGTGATACCGTACGATAAAGGATATATCAAAACCACTTATAAAAGTAAATATATACACAATGGAGTCAAACGTTTAATAGTTATAGTGTAAATAATTGAAGAATATATTTAAGTATAAACGACTTTGATTTTCGGCATAATCATGAGAAACGATAGTAAGTCTATTTCGCTATGCAAATGTGACTATAAAAATTTTTGTTCATCCACAAACGTTTTATTAATATATCTTAAAATAACAAAATATTTCTTTTGCTAATTTCCTTTCTTAGATTATAATCATTCAAAAGTATATTCGTCGATGGCTCGCAAAAAAGAGAGTAGCACATCTTAAAAAGATAAGGGATGATTACGCTGAGTGGGAAAATTCACAATCTGAAGCGTTTAAAGATGAGATCGCTAGAAGAATCGCACATGATTTCGAGCGAAGACTTCATCCTGAAACTGTGGATGATTTCGACCGACTATATAATGCTTTAGAAATGTGGCGTAAGGAAGAAGTACGTAAAATAGAAGAACAAAATTTAACGGAAGCAGAAAAGAAAGCAGCTCTAGCGTTGCTTTTGGATGAAGAGGCAGAATTAATATCAATTATAACTAAACATCAAAAAAACAGAAGCATGAAAATTGCTGGAGACATTCAATCTCTCTGCTTAAAAAAAGCTTCAGCGCCTCATCGTTGGATATCTGCAATTGATGGAAGAATGATTGAAGTGAGCACAGCTGACACAATTCGTGCAAAAGAATTGCTGGACATTTATGAAAGTCTAGGTTTGGAAAATCTAACAGATAATGAAAGGCTAGATCTACTACTCACATTAAAGCAAATTGTTAGCCCATACGATATAAAGATTTCTAAGGAGATTATAGGATTGGTTGATAGAGAAGCAGAACTTATAATGCGTCATATTCCAGGTAAAAGTTTATCCGGACTAAGGCAAAGGATTCGCAACAGATTCATCCAATTCGCAAAATTACCACAAGTTAATCCGGAAGTAGGTAAGTATCTTAATGTACCAACAAACACGAAAGAAGCAACCTCTCTCTTATCAGTCGAAGATATCCAATACTGTGCCTCTTGTCAAAGATACTTAAAGAAAAGCTTATTCCCACTCAGTTCACGAGCAAATAAACTACTTCCTTGTATATCATGCAGACGGAATGATAATCGAGCACGTGAAAGATTGGATCTTGAACCATATCAATATATTTTGACAGAACTACGACAAAACGAAACTAGGCTTGTAGCAAAAATGAAAAGAGTGGCTATGGAAAATGCACGAGAGGCAGAATTACAGAGATTAGAACGAGGTGAATCTCCGCGACCGGAAACAGATGATATTATTGATGGAATATATGAAGAAACTTTGTGCATAAATCCATTGCCGTTTTTAATGGATAAAGAAGACATAAGATTTCTAATCGATCGAATTTGGGAAAGTCGCTCAGTTTTATCAGGTTGGACAAATCTATTTGATTTGACACTAGCTCGATGGGATATTAATGAACCATGGTCACCATGGAATACTATACTTGTAACCAGAGAAGAGGCTAAAATTCACGCGAATTTAAGTACACTTAAAATAGAAGAAACTTATTCAGATCCTTTGATTAATTTAGTAAACCAACGACTCATGATGGGTAAAACTGAGTTCGTGAAATTACGTAAAAATGGTCTTAAAATGACTAGAGAATTATTGGTAAACAACAAACCAAAAGAGAATCCAGAAGACATATCGGAAAAATGTCAGGAGTTGCAACATTCACTAATTCAAGAGCAGAAACACTCAATCCAAACATACGATTCAACATGTTCATCACTAAAGACAGAGTTTTCTGAAAAAGATAAAACATTCACAAACTAGTAATCCACCAATTAATTAATGAAAGGAATGATGTCATTAAAAAAAAATTGCAATGCATTACATACTAATACATTCATTTGGATTCAGAAAATCTCAGACAGTTCAGATGCAATGAAAATATAACTGATAGGTACTGACTGGTTTGCGTTAAAAGGTGCTGTAAACAACTCGTCTTTATATAGATATAAAAAAGGACCCTTTATTTGATCTAGTTAAACACACAAATTAGGTTATATCATGGTTGAATTGAAAAATTTGTTAAACGATTCACTGAAACTGCAAAGATATTTAATGTTTTAATAGCTTCATGGATATTTACAATTGTAATTTAATTTATGCTATTTTACGTATTAATTAAACGAGTAAATATAATCAACTATGAAAACAGTACAATATGTTTTTAAAAAAATTCGCATTCTTTTCACATTTATGCATCCATAAATCAATATGATAGTGAAAAAAATACAAACTGAAAATAGGGTTCAAAAAACCAATGAAACCACCTAGTGAATCATACAAACAATTGAATAGGACAACAAACGACGAATGCACATACCCCGAATGTACCGCTCCAATCTTGTCATCTTGTTTCTAGACGCTGAATACGGTTATCTCATGGGCTTCAAACTTCCTGTTTGAAGCCTCATAAAGAACTTAAATCAATGCTTGATGAGTTCATGGAATAATGTCATGTCTTGACCAAGATGTTTTTAAAAATGATTTTTGGGTTTTTTTCAATTCACTTTAAGAAAGTTCATGAAACACCAGTAAAAACATTTCTAGCTGTTTGAAGTAATTTTAAGAAAGTATTAAACTAAAGATGGGAAGTAAGAATTATCTGAATTTGTATAGAATTGTTCGGATACAACTTAAATACATTAAGATTTTAGTTTGAAATATAGTTTTTCCAGGTGATCGCAGGTTACATACAATAAATGAACAAGCTTTATTCTTAATAATATCAAAGACCGGCATTAAAATCTAAACAGCGCTAGAACTATTTCTTAAAATCCCAGATTTATAGGCTCTGATATTGTATTCGAAGCTTCATCATATGAAAAATGGGCTACAGTATTGACTAGTAGCGTAGATGACGGCTCATTCTACGAGTCCAACTTAGATTTCCGGACTAACGTTAATGGAAAACTATTTATATGAGTTAATGCATCAGTCGGAACACTTACTTGTTACCCGAAATCCAGTTTCTAAACTGATATTTTTTTAAATCTGAAGTTACCTTCCGTCACAAAATAACAGTAGTTACAGACCCATTGTAAATAAGTAAGCACAGGGCAGTTTGTTCATTTTATTTAGTAATTCCCCATTAGTTTAAGCTCACGAGATCGGGCGCAAAACTGAGTTTTATTACTTACTTACTTACGCCTGTTTCCCCAAATGGACCAGAGGCCGCCGACCAACATTCTCCAACCTACTCTTTCCTGGGCCTTCAGTTCTAGTTCTTTCCAATTATTGTTCATTACTTTCATATCTGTCTCCATTTCTCAACTTAATGTGTTCTTTCGCCTTCCTCTTTTTCTTTGACCTTGAGGATTCCGAGTGAGGGCTTGTCCTCTGATGCAGTTCGGTGCTTTCTTCAATTTGAATCCTATCCACTTCCAGTGCTACTTCGAAATTTCTTTCTCTCCTGGAATCTGGTTTATTCTCTCCCACAGTAGGCTTCTGCTAACAGCGTCTGGCTAACGGGTCCTTATGATCGCGCGTAGACAACTGTTAACAAACATTTGTATCTATTGGATGGTGGTTTTCGTAGTTTCTAAGTTTCTGCTCCATACAGTAGAACTGTCTTAGCATTCGTAAGGAAAATTGTGACTCTGGTGCTAGTTGATAGTTGTTTTCAGTTCCGGATGGTCTTCAATTTTAGAATTGCTGCCCTTGCTTTGCCGATCCGCACCTTCACATCTGCATCAGATCCACCTTGTGCATCAATGGGGCTGCCCAGATATGTAAACGTCTTCACATCTTCCAAAGCTTCTCCGTCAAGTGCGATTTGGTTGGTGCATCAACTGTTGTAAATAAGGTTTTTGTTTTTTCCCTGTGTATGTTGAAACCTGCTGATGCTGCTGTCACTCTGGTCGTCTTCTCTGGCATTTGTTGCTGCGTGTACGACAGAATAGGCAGATCGTCTGCGAAGTATAGATCATCCAGCTGCATCCTGGCTGTCCACTGTATCTCATGCTTACCCCCAATACAAACTACTAACTACTGTTGATAAAGCGATTGTTCAGCGCTCCTTGATTTCCCATGATCCCCCTTTTAAGTTCATAGAAGAAACTACAAAAGATAATATTCGCTAGAGAAATAATTATAGCGTTCATAGTTCATTAGGCATTGTCAAAATAATGTACATTACTAATAAAAAAGTAAATCATTCTATGATACTTTCCAAGAAATCATAATGTTTATTTATTATGAGTGGGTTTGAACCCACCGTAAATCCATCAATTATGTACCAAAGTATTAACTATTGTTTTCAATGAGTAATCAAAAAATCTTATCATCTAAACAAAGTACGATCACAGCAGAAATATGATCAAATATGTATATTTTTCAAAAAAAAAAAATTGCATTAACAAGTACAGAAAAGACGTAATAATCCAAGTAAATATTGAACAATTTCTGTTCCACCAAGTTTTGACTCGCCATAAAATCGATCTACAAATGTAATTCCAACCTAGAAATAGATGAAAGATATTTTAGGAATAAAATTAACATTACATTTTTACAACTAAACATACCTCACCAATTTTATAACCAAGTGAAGAGGCTAAAACTATCATTTCCATCTGAAACACGTAACCACGTGAAGTACAACGCGAAACCAGATCTTGTAGAACTGATTTTTTGTATAGTCTAAAATAAAATCAATGGATTAAATGCATATATATTTTTGCAATAAGTTTGGTTGGATATTCTAAGACAGTGCTCGAAAAGCACTGAAACTACTAAATTTGTCAATATTTATGATATAGCTTTGAATCTACCAGGAATAACTAATCCCCTTAACATTAAAGATACGCCTTGAAGACGAGTAAGGAATAGCAAGAAGCCTAGGTTTAGGGTTTACTACTGAGTACCACCAAACATCCAACATATGAAAGTGATGTTGAGTTACTTAGACACTGTTAGTCACATTGGAACTCGGCCTGTATTTTCCGATCAGCACTAAAAGATTACACGGAAATGACGCTGGTTACTACTCAGTGATTAATCAGTTGTGGAATTTTCATTTCATTAAAATCACATGTTGTCAATGTCATTCAAGAAGATACCTATTTCTTCAACTGTGTATACATACGATTCTCAACTTCAGATTTGTGTTCCATAAACTAATTACATAGTGCTCATACATTTTCCGTTTTATTTACCTTCCGAATAGGTGAGATATAATTTTGCTGTTATATTAGCACTTAAGACAAATTACTCAAACTTAGATGGAGAAACTGATTGTAAAAATGCTTTAAAATCATACAATATAACTAGAGGTGATGTACTGAACAACAATTTAGCCATTTTTAATTTTTCTTTGTGTCACACGAATGATGATAAAAGAGACCTGAAATTCATCCAGAGCAATACGGCTGAGTTTTATTGAGCGATATGAATAAGAAATGAGGCATGGTAAGTAACATATGATATTCATAGTGTGTAGAAGTGTGCAACAACATATGTATTCTTCGTCTATTGCTTTCCTTGGATGTACAAGCGTGTTTATTTTTCTTAAGACGGTACATATTTTCCTTGGGAAGATCTGATCTCCTGTTTACATTTTGCATTATTATTGAATTCAAAGAGAAAGAATGTATAAAAACCTTAAACAAGAATGTTCACTACCAAGTATCTTAAAACATTTCCTAAATATAAAAATCCATTAACTTAAGTTTATAAAAGATATGAAATTGTAAACAATCATTCATAACATTTTATTGGTTAGAAATAATTATCTACTTTACATGCTTTGTATCAATCATTGATACGATCATCGCAAGGTGCATACAAACAATAATGAAAAATAAATAGGTACACTAATTTACCTAAAACTGCCAGTTAGATCGGACGCTTTCGGTCGTAGTAATACTTGAGCTATATAATTAGCTGTGCGGCTAGAGCAACAAATGAACATGTAAACAAACAGACTGATCATAGCTTGTACATAAATAACTATAATTGTGGTTTGAAAATGTATAAAATATAAGAACTATAGTTTGTTTTGATAACATACTTAGTTGTAACAAATTATTGAATGATTTCATTATTCAAACAATGGCTCCAATGTGCTTTCATACAGAGAACAATTATTTCCCAATGAAACGTTTGGAAAGCTCTTAGGATTTTAACTGATCTTTGAAATGTGAATCAGTTTTATTTATAAGACAAAGTAAACAAAAATTTACGATTTTTAAATGTATTCTGTATAAATAATAGATAGAAACTGAAATGTTTCAAATCTAAGAAAAATTTCAAAAAAGAGATGATCTAATTATCAAGACGATTCATTAGATAAACCATTTGCCTTCCATTATGCTCAGCTATTGTTTAATCTATTGGATAGTTGGTTGGCTGTCCGTATCTAACACTAGTTGACAGTCTTCCGACGACGAGATTCGTGGGAAAAATAAAGTTTTTTATAGTCGAAGCCTTTTTATCGGTCATACATCCAGTGGAGATGATGAAACTCCACAGAAATCCACCATTTAGGATAAAGACAAAGAAATACTGCATACCTGCAGAAGTTTCTGTCCTACGCGGTTCACTAATCCAATAACTTTTTGTGGTTAATGTAAACAACACGAAAGCAAATAACTCTTTAAGAAATAAACTTTGGTTTCTAGTCGGCCACTTTAAAGATAGGTTATAAGGAAAAGACCCATCTTACGAAATTAAGCTGACTTCCATATATTCTATGAATCAGATGGGGAAATATTATACCTACAAAACGGGCAGATCATTTGTATGAGTGTCGTTCCACAGTACCGATTATATGTATCAATTGTATCTAGGTACGATCAACAATTCAGGTAATATTTTCAGACCAGTGATTCTGTCCAACTATGAATACAGAAAGTGTATGTCAACATACTTTAATACAAACCCATGATACCTTGATAATTTGCTTTCATGTCTGTTCGATTCAAATTAAATAGATCTAAATCTACTTCAACCTTTACAAATTAACCTCCTAAGTATTATATATAAGGCTACCAGCCAGTAAGACTG